TCTCAAAGTAAGATTCTTAAATGTCACTGTTGGATTGCTTAACTGAAATCTGGCATGTAGACATGCCATACTTTTCTTGGATACATTTTTTCCAATTTTTTTGTAAATGTAACTTTTGTGCAAAAATGGTTTTGGCTAAAAATTATTCTAACAATACACACTATTTTTATTTCAAAGAAGAATTAGAACGTATACACACGAATGACTGTTCCCAACCTCTACCTAGTATTATATAAATGTTATCTTGGAATTATAAGAATTTTGATAGAAGGCCACAACTAACTTGTATGAATTGAAGCAGCACAATTGCTGTGGATTATCTATGGTCCAAAAACTCATTTGAGCTACACATAGTCCACAAAAGAAATGTAGTATCTGTGTTTTTCAAGGATCATCTGAGAAGACAGAAAAAAATGCTACACTTCAAAAATACAGGATACTGATAGATATCTTTCTAAATGTGTTCAAGGTGGGCTCTCTGATTACATTTTTCCCTTGACTACACTGTAATAGTGATCATAACATGAGGTAAAAGAGGGGAGACAAAAAGCAATAGCTGGTCCTGAACTTCATTACCACATCGTAATTGGGCTAAAGATGATATGAATTCTTCTTAGCCAAAGTGAATGAGCAGCAAGGGCAGCATGTGACTGGAGTATCCTTTTCGTCACTTAACTTAAACAGAGTCACTATGTAGAAAGCAGAGTAAATTTTACTTCCAAAGATGAATGGCATGCATGAAAAATTTGCTATGCTTACTCTTTGGGGAATAGAAGGTAGTTTCTTTCTTGAGTATATATGTAGCAAAGTCCTGAGGCAGAACAACTATAATTACACAGTACCTTAATCTGTAGAAGAACATTGAAACCCAACCTGAACTTTTTAGACACAAATACATATATGTATGAAGAGGTCATCTGTAATGTAATTATGCATATTTACTGCTGATACAGTATACATTTTTTAATATTATAAACCAAAAAGCATTGAGAAAATTGCTTTTTCAGCCTTTGAACAGGGCTCTGTTTGAAAAAGGCATGGTAATTAAATTTAAAAAATAAAATGACAAGTATCACCAAATGTGCTTAAAAAATGACTTTCTGGTTATTTTATTTTGGAAACAATAATGAATAAAATGAATTGTCTGTAGATATGTGTTTGTTTAATTCACTGCAAAAAATAAATTTATTGTGGCGGCAGGGGTATGAATTATGAAAAGAAGAAAACACAGTTAAAATCAGACACATTCAATGAGCTTTCAAACGCACTGCATCAACTGGGATAAATAATTTAATAACTCACTTCATGTGCTGTCTCTTCAGTGTTATAGAGTTATTAAAAAACATGAGTACGAATGTGTAGGATCACAACTACACAATATGTGAAATGTGTTATAAATGTAACAAATAACATTGTATCTTTAATTAAATTTGGCTTCTGAAACAATATAGGAATACTTTTTGACAAAATATTTTTATATCAATGTCTGGAAATTCTAACTACAACAAATAATGCAAAAGTAGGCAGGTTAGAGGAACTGGAGAGGAAAAAATGGATATAACATTTTACCATAATTATCCCTTTTATTCTTTACACAATAATACATTTATCAATTATTTTGATAATAAACATCATGGTACTAAAATTAAAACTTAAACTTATATCCAGTGAGTATATAGCACAAAGAAAAGTAAGAAGTACAGTGCTTAAAATTGTGAGAATATCAGGCCCAAACAAGCATCTCTAATGCACAATCATTTTAAGACAATGCATTTGGGAAAGTATTATTGAGTTTAATCCACTACCACCTATGCAAAAAGCACTGTGGTTCTTGGTGCTTTGAATCCATGAAATTAAAATAAAATAAAATAAATAAAATTTGACTATAGTCGGTTGAAGTGATTTTAAAATAATAAACGACTGAGTTCATCTTGAGTTTGGCAACTTTGCCAGTTTTACATACCTAATAATTCATTTGTATGTCTCCCTAAATGTTTGAAATGTAATATGATCATTTCTATTTCATAAAAATGGAAATAACTCATTTATAACTCATTTGTATTTTATTAATTGCATGGCTCAAATAACACACTTATACCTTAGAACCCCTTTGAATCAGTAGTAGCAAATGCTGAAGTAATAATAATTAACCCTAAGAGAAGATAAACCTGATCTACAGACCTTGGCTTAGTGATCTCAAGAGGATTTAGTAACAGCAGTGGAATACGCATATTCAGCTAGAAGTAAAACCCACTGAGAATGCTCTTCAGCATATAAAGACTGCAGTTTAAGCTATCAAGGTTTTAGCAATCCAGTTGATTGCTGAGGCCTATAAATTCTGGTTTGCATTTTCTATTTTAAGCACCAGTAATGTATTCACAAAATGTATTCTGCAAGAAATATTTACCTCCAGGAAGTATAAGAGGACATTCCTAAGCTCATTCCGACAATCATGACAGTCCAAGCAAAAAAAAAAATATCTCCGATTTTAGTGGGACTTTATTAGACTCCTTGATTAAAGTCTGCGTCTTGCTACAATGTCAATGTAACCCAATGCGTGAAGGCAGTGTGAAGGCAGGCAACGAAGGGAGGGAGGAAGGGAGGGAGGGAAGAGGAATCCTGATGTCTTAGGATTTCAGTTGTTAGAGCTTTGCTCCATTTCCTCTGAGAAGAGACCCTAAATGGCCGGCTGGCGTCACGTACCATTTTATATTTTCAGCAAAAAAGCTGGCGATTGGAGAAGGCAATCGGAAAGCCCTGATACGTCGGAAAGCCGAGGCAACCGCAAAAGCGCGCTCTAGAGACCTCCCTCGGGGTTCCGCAGGCCCGGGCCCCTTCCAGAGCCGGCTCTACCCAGCGCTCCAGCACTCATCACCCTTCCCGGTGGTCCCCAAAAGGAGAAGGCGTGTGTCCATCGTCCAGCCCCGCCGGTCAGCTCCTCGTTTCGGAGAGCAAAGGCACCTTTCCTGGGTAAAAGAAATGGGAGGCCTGTCGCGCTAGAGCCAAGCGGCCAACGAAGAGGTCGCCATTCTTTGGGCGAGCAACGTCTCCCAGGGCGCGCCTTTTTTTTCACCTGTTGGCGGCCAAGTCGAGCGCTGACGCGGCTTCTGGCCCACTCCCTGTCTTCCTCGAAGCCCCAACTTTCGGGGGTGGGAGAGGGCAAAAGTAACGGGGCGATGAGTCGCCGATCGAAACGTCGGCCTGGGCAGCTCTCGGGTCCCGATAGAAAGCCGCTCCTATAAAGGTCCAGCTTGCTTTGGAAGTGCCTTGCTGCCATTTTCCTATCCGGCCGCCCGTGACCAGCGGGGAAGGGCGTTCAGAAGCGCCGACTCGGGGAAAACGCGACTCCCTCTCAGCTCCCGTCTGGCGATCAGCGAAGCCGCCGAGGGTCCGCTTGGAGGCAAGTTCAGGCAGGCGGTTAGAAGGGCGCTCGCCTCTTCAGCCGGCGTCCCATTATATTGCTGCCCACGCGGACTCGCCTCGGTCCGTTCGGGTGCTGGAGCGCCGAGGGGCCTCAGGCGTGTGTTCCACGTTCAGAGAGGAGCGGAGTTCGAATTCAAGGCGCTTTGGCAAAGGGGGACAATATGGCTCGAGCAGAGAGGGCTTTTAAGAGGTGCGTCTGAGAGGGGTGAATCTTCACTCCGACGTCCTGCAAAACTACACCAGGGAGGGATCATGAATGCAATTTTAGGGAGGGAAATAAGTCCCTGAAACAGTCTCGGCTCACAGTAAACCCGTGTGTTCTCCACCAACGTCCAAGGAGTTGAAACGGGACCTCAAGGCCGAAGAAGGCCGTTTGCTGGGGGATCCCCGATTTTATGATGTGGATTAAGGTCCCGCTGATTTCGAGGGCTTCAATCTCGCTGATGCACGCCTCCCGCTTTCCGGCTGGTGCTTAAAAGTAATGTTAACATTAAGAGGCCCTCCAAATACCGGACGCTCCCGCAGGTCACCTCCCCTCCCCGGGAACCGCTTTTCCGGGGCCAGCGCCCCGTAACGAACTGCTGTGCTGGGAAGCGTCCTACAAATATGCCCCACTTCAGCTCCTCCCGCTCCCTGCGGAGAGAAATGTTGTCCGGTCCCAATGCCAGTATACGGCCCACCACCCCCCCGTCACACAAGTCCTTTTAGTTAATCCCGAATTCACACGAAGGTAGACTGCCCACTTCGGATCATTAAAAGACATTTATTTTTGCAAGAACACTCAACGTCTCTTGCAAGGTACCTCTGTTAGACAATTGCAAAAGAAGACAACAACGCGCCTAAATCGCTTAACAAACACAAATCGTGCTGACCACCAGATGCGTGGCTTCGGAAACCCAGTCCGGAAAATTTGACCAACTCGGCCGTCCTCGTTCGTCTGCTATCAATCTAAGAAGACAACATTTGCATCCGATCGATTAAGACCCGTCAAATCGCTCTCCATGCTATTTAACTGGGCGTGGAAGAGCAGGAGAGGTTCCTCTTGGCATTTGAGGTCAAGGCTAGGAAGGTTCTTAACACTAGACTGGCCAGCTGACCAGTGGAAAACTGTCCTGGCGGTTTCCAACGGCTATGAGGCAGCGCCAGTCTTGAGCCCTGTTCAGCAAAGCCGAGGGTCCCCGGTCTCTTTCTCCAACAGCGGACCTCCTCTCCCAGTGTGCTGGTCGAATGGTGGTGGACTTGGGACACCTGCAGTCCCGTTTGCGCCAGGAAGCGGCTCTGACTGCGCCTTGCGAGTTCCTCGAAGTCTTCTCCTGGCGGCACCGCCTTTAAGCGCCCTCTCGATCATTCCCCGTGGATAAGCGGCCTGGCTGGTCATTCTGTGCCATCAGCCCCCTACCTTTACTTTGTGTGTTTCTCTCTCTACCGCCAAGAGAGGGATTAATTAACCGGGCTGGGGCTGAAAGAGGCTGCCGTGACGAGCCCAGTGGCGATTGGCCGCCCGCCCGCCTGGCCCTGCCTTTATAATTTCCACACGAGTGCATCTGGGTTCTTATACAAACCAACAGCCAGCTTCTTCTGATAGATACACCCACTGAGAGAGAGAACCATCGGCACTTCCTTTGCAACCTAGCCACCCTACACACATGGTTGCTACTCCGAGAGAAGCTCACATAAATATATGTATCCAGAGGTGTAATTCAGATTTATTGGAAGGCTTGCTAAATCTGTTCAAACTTTTTTAAACTTTTTTTTCCCGAACAGCAGATTTCTATGCGTTTTGCTGTTCACGCAAACATCCTCTAACGGCATCCATTTGAACACATCGAAGCAGGGTGTGTGGTTGATAAGGATCGGAGATCTATCCAGAACTAAACGGCCCATCTAGCAGCAGCAGCAAGAAAAAGCATCTGAGCTGGAAAGGAGCAGAAACGCCGCCGCCGCCTAGCGCTTTTTAAATCATCTTCTAGTTACGTTTCCGAGCGTCAGACAGTCTGATTCTCCTCTGAAGTTGGCTCCAGCCTTAGCAGCCGCATTGGATCCCACAGCATACTGCGAGACTCCGGTCTACAATCCGGATCTCTGCCCCAACATGATCGCAGCTCAGGCCAAGCTGGTTTACCATCTCAACAAGTACTACAACGAGAAATGCCAAGCCAGGAAAGCGACCATTGCGAAAACTATCCGGGAAGTCTGCAAAGTGGTCTCGGACGTGCTAAAGGAAGTGGAAGTGCAGGAGCCCCGCTTCATCAGCTCCTTGAACGAAATGGACAACCGCTACGAGGGGCTGGAAGTCATTTCGCCCACCGAGTTCGAAGTGGTCCTTTACCTGAACCAAATGGGCGTTTTCAATTTTGTGGACGACGGCTCGCTGCCCGGGTGCGCGGTGCTCAAATTGAGCGACGGGCGCAAGAGAAGCATGTCCCTTTGGGTGGAGTTCATCACGGCCTCGGGTTACCTCTCAGCCCGCAAAATCCGCTCCCGCTTTCAGACGCTCGTGGCCCAAGCCGTGGACAAATGCAGCTACCGAGACGTTGTGAAAATGGTGGCGGACACCAGCGAGGTGAAGCTGCGGATCCGGGATAGATACGTGGTGCAGATCACGCCGGCTTTTAAATGCACCGGGATCTGGCCCAGAAGTGCTGCCCACTGGCCCCTGCCCCACATCCCCTGGCCGGGTCCGAACCGCGTGGCCGAGGTCAAAGCCGAAGGCTTCAACCTCCTATCCAAGGAATGCCACTCGCTGGCGGGCAAGCAGAGCTCGGCCGAGAGCGATGCCTGGGTCTTGCAGTTCGCCGAGGCCGAGAACAGACTTCAGATGGGCGGTTGCCGAAAGAAATGCCTCTCGATCCTCAAAACGCTGCGGGATCGCCACCTGGAGCTACCCGGGCAGCCCCTCAACAACTACCACATGAAGACCCTGGTTTCCTACGAGTGCGAAAAGCACCCGCGGGAATCGGACTGGGACGAGTCTTGCCTGGGCGACCGCCTCAACGGGATTTTACTGCAGCTCATCTCCTGCCTTCAGTGCAGGCGGTGCCCGCATTATTTCTTGCCCAACTTAGACCTTTTCCAAGGCAAACCTCACTCCGCCCTGGAAAACGCAGCCAAACAAACGTGGCGGTTGGCGAGGGAAATACTCACCAACCCCAAAAGTTTGGAAAAACTTTAGGAGGCCGCGGAGACGCAGCCGTCCACCTATTCAGCCGCCTCCTTCTCTTTTCGAGGATTCTGTGGGGAAAACTCAGGTGCTGCCAGCCGACCACGCGAAACGCCAGCCTGCAACAGAAGGAAGAGGCCGTCCCCGCAGGCGAAGCGCACCGCACTGCACCGCACCGCACGGATTACGACTTGTCACCATCCCGGCATCCACGTCCCCGTTCGGAAAAACCAAACCAAGAGTGTTGTTATCACCTGGGGAGAGGCAATAGGGGCTACACTTCAGCCTGCCTGCGAGCATTGCTGAACAGAAACCAGACCAGGGGGATTATATTAACCAGGCCAGTATTTTTTTTTCCTTTTGCGCGAGGCCACCCGAACAAAGAAAAGCAAACAAGCCCCCACCGCGGTTGTCTCTCCCCTCTCCCCTCCCACCCCTGTACATTTTGAAACATTGTATGGATTATTGTGGTCTCGCGTTGTCTTTGAAATTGTGGATGTTAGTGTTTTGTGATTTGGTGAAAAAGTTTAAATTGCCATTGTTGGATGCTTCGAGACATTTTCTGCTCAAGAAGATACCCTTTCAAAAGGTACATTTTATCATGGTACTTTATGTCTCTTGTCTTTTGAAGTATCTAAACTGAAAAAAAAGTTTACATTTTGGTTTCAAATATATTGCTTGTTCTCTTTGTAACATTCCATAAATATACTTGAAATGTTATTTAAATATATTCAGAAGAAATTTTGACCTTGTCTATATAATTGTGAATATTGGAATTATATATTGGAAAAATGCACTTGAGATACACTGGATAATTACTTTTTGTGATTTAAATTTCTGTTGTTGATTTTATTTAATTACAAATTAATAAATACAAGTAAAAGAAATATGGCCAAACCTTTTAGTGCTGGATTCAATATGGTACCGTACTGCATTTCCCAAGGCACATAAGTTAAATCTTGGGTGGCATTTTACCTATGGTTTTTTAAAAAGAGATGATAGCCCCAAAACGGGTCTCAGACCCCATCAACATCTGCCACACAGGACGGTATGATAATTAACCGAGTAACATTTTTACAACCTCTTAGGAAATAAATCTGCTCATCAAGGATTTACTGGACTGCATTAACTGGGCTGCCTGTTTTTCTCAGGATCTGTACCTCTCTGGAGGCCTAGTTGGCCACAAAATTAGCACTTCAAGAAAAGGGAGGGAAATCTGTGAAATTTATACTGAGGGCAAAGATCGATCTAACAGCCCCCAAGGTTATGGTTTATTCTTCCTTGAACTTAAAGCCCATTACGCTGGTCATCAGCCACTTGCAACCGGGAAAGACAAGCGCCGGCTTCTCCGGACGCCCTTCGGGACGAAGGTGACCGGCCGCATCCACCAACGCTACCCTTGTAGGCAGACAAGCGGAGGGACAAGTCTTTCTTCCCGAGGTAGACCAAGCCAAAAATCAGAGGGCGCAAACAGCTGCGAAGTGAACCGCAGCTAATCCTGACTCCACTTTCAAGAACCAAACGTGAACAACAAATCCCCACTGAAATGCAGTCTCCTTTCGCAAGTCTGGCACCTTTTCTTTTCTAAATTGGCGTTAATGACGGTTTAGATAGCATTTTTTACGGACAGGACTTCCAGACGCGCAATTACCCCGGTTCGTGCCATGTAAGGGTGAGGGGGGGGGGCGGGGAGGAGGGACGAACACGGCCCCTGCTTTACGGCATTACTGCTGCCGGTCGGCGTTAAGGCAGAACTCTCTCTTTGCTTCCGCTCTGAGGAAATTGAGCGGGATCCTGGCTCTACTTTCAAACCAAGCCCCATTCAACAACCCCTCCTCCCCCTCTGGAGAGCTTCCACCCCCACCCCCCCAAGCCTCCGAAAAGCAGGTCCTCGAAACGGGGCGGTTTATTTTCTGTTACTTCTAAGGAAGCGCCTGGCCTGGAGCTGTGTGTTCAACGATCGGGGTCTGCAGCAGGGGGCGGGGGGGGGGGCTCCGTTACCTCCCACGGAAAACCAAGCCGTTGGTTTAACAGCGAAAACTGCCCACATTCGCTCAAAGACCCCAGGCTGGCAGGACGGGGGCGGGGGGGGGGGCGCGCGGAGCGGGGAGAGACGGATAAAAGCGAATTTCATACAATGAAAGCTGCAACGGATCCAGGAGGAAAGAAGGGGAAAGAGAAGGAGCGGTGGACGGTTCCCCCCTCCACCCGTTGAGCCTTCTTCGAGCGAGAGTTGCAGCAAACCCCCCCCACCCCCACCGCTCTCCTCTTCCCGGCGCTTTACTCACTTTTGGGTCGATTTTCTTGAAGGCCGAATCATCCTCGTCCACCTCGAAGTAGATTTCGGTGGTGGTAATGGAGAGCGTCCCCTTGGCCACTACCACTGGGGCTATAAGCTGCGCCGGTGTGCTGAGGACCACGGGCCCTGCAAGACAAGAGCGGCGACGTCAGGATGCGGCAATTCGGAGGCAGATGTGCCCGGCTCCGTTTCCTTTGCCGAAAACGAAAGCGCAGCCTTTGTACTGGGGGGACGGGGGTGGGGGGGACGAGGCGCCAGCAGGCTGGTTGCTGCGGGTTTCCTCAAAGGGGACCCGGCCCTGCACCAAAGGGTGATCCGACACCGCGGGAGAAGAAACAAGATTGCCTGCCTGGGTCTTTTAACCCCAACTCAAAGCGAGACCTCGGACTCTCCAAGACTGAGGGACCTAGTCGGGAAGTATTCTTTCATGGGAAAATAAATCACAACTGAAAATATTTTATGAATCGTGCATATTTAGGCACCTTATCAAAATGAAGATGACTACGGTAAAACCAGAGTGGTCTTTAATTGGGCAGTATTTTTTAGTTCAAACATTAGTTCATTACAGTGGCCCTACCAGCAAGGACATATTTTAATTTTTATTATCTCTCACTTTAGTCAGGGCTTATTTTCAATACTACACAACCACCTGCAAGGCTTCTGGTGCTGTTTTGTTTGTGCGGGTGTACTCATGTATTTGAAAAACAAAGTAGCTATCACAGTACATTGTGGGGGAAAAAAAATCACAAATCGATTTTTCTCCCAAGATGCCAGAAATATTCTCTTAGCCGCCACTGTTTAATTTCTAAACAGTCTGTTTCAAGGTGCAACCTTTCCTGGGACTAAGTTCAACAGGACTTACTTTCTGAATAAAAAAAAAAGGAAAGCTTGGCATTAAAATTTGATTTCTGGCAGAAATATTTTGAAAACAAAGCCACCGGGGAAAAAAACCTGAGCAATTTTAACAAAATTAATTTGATTTCCTGAACATGAAAGACGATTTTGACAGAAATATGTGTCGATTTCATTAAGTCTTGTTTCCAAATAAATGTGAGTAAAATGCAATCAAGTTCATTTTAGCAAGGGAATCCTGAAACTAAATAGTGGATAGTTCTAACAATGGTAAGAATAGGAAAATGCTTTACAGAATTTATTCTCAGAAGAAGATAGCAATGATTATTGCTGCCAATAAGATGTAAACGTAGCATGACAACAAAGATGGAACCAAAGATTTCGTTATGTTAATTGCATTTTATGATATGTTGCATCTATGAATAATGTACACAAAAACTGAGATAAGGATCAGGGTGGAAATTAAGGTGCAGTCCTAAAACAAAATGGATGAATAAACCCAGCTATCCATTCAAGAAATCTAAAATATAATAACCTTCTGGAAGCTAGAATAACTAAGTCTTGCCCAATGAAAGCACCTCTTCCTGCCGAATCCAGTTTCCTTCGTCTGGGGAACGGGGAAAAATCAATTTTCTAATGTGTTCCCTTCAAATGTGGATCTCTCTCTGCCAGCCACCTCGTCGCTTTTCTTTTCTGGCTAAAGTTGGTGAGGGCCTCACTTCGGAGCCGCAATGGAGCACTCCCTCTCCGCGTACCCCCGGATTTTTGGAGGCTCACTTCTCACCACCCACTTAACTCGCTTGTAACCCTCCAGCTGCTTGACGCGAGTGGCTCAGCCCTGATTTCCGTGCTAACTTCCCTCCTAGCGGCCGGCATCGCCGCCCCCCCCCTCCCGCGTCCCTTTGCAGAGTCCAAAGCAACGCTCCGTTTGTCGCCAGTGACAGCTTTCAGGCAAGCCCACCAGGGGCCGGATAATATTGATACAAACTCTGTTTTCATTCATTTTCTTGTTTTTCTCTCTCCTAATAGGCCACCCTGGCCTCTTGACCCCAGTCAGCTGATCCGGATCACATGCGCTGGGCTCGGCTGGCTCTTCCCCCCGCGTCGCCTCCCGCTCTCGACGGAGCGCTGTCCTGGCGCGCCGCTGGGCAGGCTGCCGGAACGGCCAGGCTTCCTGCTTCGGGGCAGGGGATCGATCCGAAAGGGCGCTTTAAAGGCTCATCAATCTTAATCTAGGTCGCTCAAGTAATTATGCGCGATTCTCTCGTGCGATTACAAGTGGATTTGGGTTGGGATTCCCTGGGCTCTTTTCCTTTGTGTTTTAACGGGAAGAGGAGCTCGCCAGACAGCAGCGGCCTGCCTGCCCTGCCTTAATCTCCCGCGGCGACCCGCCTCGCCGGGTTCCTCTTCCCGGGGCTCTTTAACCCTTCCCGGCCGGTTGCCTCTCCCAGCGCTCCGGCTTTTCAGGCTAAAAAGAAACGGGCGCTAAAGATGATGCAGTTCGGGAGCCGCCTGCTAGTCTATCATGATAAGAAGGCGTTTAGTGGGATTCTCTCGTTCTCAGAAGAAAGATCGGGTACTTAACCCAATTACCTCCCAGTTCTCCGCTTGTTATATGGACCAAATAAAAACCAAGCGGTTGGTAGTTGGTGGTCAGAAGGCCAAAGCACGAAATCTTTCCCGAAAGAAGGTTAAAGTCTTTTGTGGGCGAGGCGCGAGCACAACAGTGGGAAAGGGGACCATGGATGAATGGTTCAATATTTCAGAGGAAATGCTTTCTAAAATTGCTGCTGGAAATACATTAATCGGGAAGATGTGTCCATGCGCAAGAAAGGCAAGTAAAGACTTAAAAAGACTGAACCTCGTGAAACCCAATGCAGGCCTGAACAAAAAACACCACGGAATTATTAAACCCGGCGTTTTTATTTAACCACGCGATGTTTCCATTAACATGTTTATTAGAGTTCCTATTTATGGGGTCCACTCCTATCTATTAGGGCCAGAAGAAACACGGACTCCAGCCCCCAGGCGAGCCCAACGGACGCGCTTCGCCCTCAAAGAGAAAAGGTGCAAAGGATGTAGCTCCGCCCACCTCGAGCCTCGGCGTTGCGCTAGTCAGAAGGGCTGCAGGACAGGGGGAAAGAAGCGATCCGGCCCCTTCAGGATCGCGTCTAGAATGCCATTTTTCCATAACCTGTTTACGTTCTGTCTCACTTGGAGTTCCAGTCGGTGAACATCTCCCTCCCCCTTTCAAACCCTCGAAATGGCGCAAATGAAACAGGCACTCTTAATGGTATGTCATTTTCAACACTTTTCCTTTGGAAATCTCCAATTACAACTTCCAATACCACGGCACATTTAAGGAGCGCTCAGTCTTTTTGTTACAGCCTTCAGGGAGCGAAGCAGCCACTGGGAGAATACCAAATTAATCCACTACAGCTATAGAGCAGGAGGATTATGATTTAATCCCCTTTGGGACAGGCTCTGGGTTTTAAGGATCTGACATTAAACTGTTTACACTAGGCATAATCAAAATAGTGCAGCTTTTCCATATGGCCACGAGACAGGCGGCCAACCAGCCAACGCTTTGCGTCTCCCCCACCTCGGATGGTGCACCTGACACCCCCAAAGAACAGCGCGGAAGAGACACTTCGACTCTTGGGAGCCCCAAAGATGTTGGGAGTCGGGCAAGAAAGGGTGCGAGTCCGTTAAAACGTGCAAAAGTCGAACAAAACCCATCTCGCGGGCGTCTTTCCCACTCGTCTCTTTCCAATGAAAGCGGGACCGTGCCAAATCTCGCTGTTAGGCTCAGGAGGCGCCCAAGATGCTCCCACCTGCGCTCGCCTCCACTTGTCCAAAGGACACCCCCCCCCCCCTTTGTTGTCCCTCGCCTGCCTGCTAACAAAAGGCAAAGGAGGCGGCCAGCAGCCCAGGGTCTGTAAGCAGGTTTTCCCCTCGTGGGCGTTGCCGGCCTCTCGCCGAAAGAAGGAACGCCGGAACGCGATAGACATAGCGGCGGCCTGCCCTTATAACCAGAATCACATAAGGACGCAAAAGGTTCTGGTGTGGATGATCGATCTAGCTGAGTAGCCTCCGCGGAAGCTGCAAGATTAGTACTCCGACAAAGAGTGAAAAGGGTGCAGATAGGGGAAGGGGGAGAGGGAGGAGGAAGAGAAAGGGGTACTTGTGCACCCAAAGTCCGTCGATGCAAATTAGCTTTGAAGCAAGTATGGAGGTTAATAATAAAACCCAGAAGCAGCTCTTCCACTGCTTCTGTCCTATCCAATTTCCCAGCAACAATTCTCCGCGGCGGCTCGGTAGCCCAAGGCTTTCAAATGGGGAGGACACATCCTGCTTGAACCTCTTGGGAATTACTTCTCAAGAAACGGCGGTAGCCTAGGAATTATCAGCAGATATGCAAAAAGAAACATCTGCAGGATGGCATTATAAGTCTGATAGCTTGCTTTTTGAAACAAATTCCCTTCTTGGAACATCATTACATGCCCTTAACTCTCTCCAGATTTTCTGTTTAAGAAACTAAAATCGTGGTTGGATTATGCAGGATTTTTTTTTTAAAGAAAAATCTAGTTCTGGGTGAACTCTACCAAGTAATTTAGGCGACAATCACATGTGCTTCATCCAGAACATTTGGAACAGAGAATGTAAATTATACTTTGTTAAGTCACTATTTACTGAGTGTTTAACTAGGTTTTTGTGGCTATTAAAAGGACATCTCACTAATTTCAGTGAAACCATCTGGAAGACAAACTCGTAAAAGAATTAAACTGAAATATTTGGGTGTTTGGTATTTATGCAGTTAATTGTACAAATCACTGACAATAGCTAATTCAGTAGTTCAGGTTGGCAGTTTTTTAAATTAACACTTTGTAATGTTCCACTCTAATACTTCAGTAGGTAGTAACAGCTGGCTGGTTTTCTCTTGACTGGGAAGCTAAGCAGGATCTGACAAATATTCGGACACTACCAGAAAATCTAAGTGATGAAGACTAAACTGGTTAGTTGAAAAGAATCCCTGGAGAAGACAATAATAAATTCCTCTCATGCTTTGTATGGAAAACATCTTCAAAATCAACACCAAGATGTTATCTTTAACAGTCCAACTATAACATACCGTATACATGGGTTACATACAGGTATAATCCAAAAAGAAGTAATAAATGGACTTTCCTTTTTATTATCCTTTTTGCCCAAGAAATCTCAGATAAAAAGTCATACCACAGAGTTCTCTCTCTCTCCCCCTACCCCTCCATCCC